TTGTGCATGGCTTGCGCGACTGTAAAAAGGATAACGATAAGGATATTACACTGCATAATGATAAGGCTGATAATGAATATATATATATATATATATATATATATATATATATATATATATATATATTCATATGTATGTATGTATGTGTGTGTGTGTGTATGTAACACATACACACACACACACGTATATGTGTGTGCGTATATATATATAATTCTCAGTATAAACTCAGAGTAATAATGATGCTAAGTTTAAGGTAAAAACAGAAAGAAGAGACAAATTACTAAGAAGTGGTATTTACTTCACAAAAACAGCAACAACAGATAAAGCAACAGCAACACAAACAACAGAACCAAGTACAGTCTCAGAAGATTCGAGCAGCCAAAGGTGAGGTGATATACATCTTAATACATATGCATGTTTGTCTTTATATGGTTATATGTATATGTATGTATAATATATATATGAATACATATAAAATATATATATATATATATATGTATATATATATATATATATATATATATATATATATATATATATACACACTTGTGTGTTTGTGTGTGTAATCTATATCTTTCTTTCTATATTAATTCACACACACAGATATATATTTGTGTGAGTATTCATATATACATTTTCTTTAATGTTTGTGAATTATCTTCATCATCTTTTACGACAAGGTTACAAACCAACTTCCATATGCTTGAGATCCACCATCCCGTTGCAAAAAAAAAAAAGCTAAAAATCCACAACGTGTTCGATCCCCTGCCTCCCTCTGCAACTCGCCTGATCTTACACCTCTTGGCAGCGACTTCGTGGCTAACGTCAACGCCTTAGAAACGTCTGTGACGTCTTACAAACAGGACTTGGACAGGACTTTGGAGGACACGAACCTGAACGAGACCCAGCGGGAGGAGGCGGTCGAGGTTCGTTGGAGAGAGAGAGAGAGAGAGAGAGAGAGAGAGAGAGAGAGAGAGAGAGAGAGGGAGGGAGGGAGGGAGAGAGAGAGGGGGGGGGCAGACAGAGAGAGAGAGAGAGAGAGAGAAAGAGAGAGAGAGAGGGAGGGAGGGAGAGAGAGAGAGAGAGAGGGAGGGAGGGAGAGAGAGAGAGAGAGAGAGAGAGAGAGAGAGAGAGAGAGACAGACAGACAGAGAGAGAGAGAGAGAAAGAAGGGAGAGAGAGAGAGGGGGGGGGGGAGAGAAAGAGAGAGAGAGAGAGACGGGGGACGACAGACAGAGAGAGAGAGAGAGATTGAGAGAGGGGGGGGGGGGGCAGACAGAGATTTGATTTGATATGATAACATTTATTTACAGAACTGTGTACATGCCCTGCAAAAAGCCAGGGTAAGATACCAAAGCATCTATCCAAACTGGCTGTGCTTCTATTTGTGTAGAGGGCCATTGGTCAGACATTAGTGTTACATACATGCCTGAAGGGCTGTTCTATTATCACAATATTAAAATATCATCTGACTGGTAAAAAACCTTTTCCATCACTAATCATGTCAAAGACAAGACCAGTGTCTATAATAAAGTTAATATAATCAACAAGCGCTATTCTGTGAACAGTACTATTTGATCGATAGGATGCAATCTTTATGCAGCAGAGTAAGTAATGAGTGAGATTATGTGACTTGGGTTCCTTGTACAGTTTGCAATTGTGATATGAAACAGGTTTTGCATCCAAAACTGCATCCTGTACATATTGTATACTGTACTGATATCCTATGCGTAGCCTAGTTAATGTAACCTGTTGTCTCCGAGACAGCTGTGATAGACTTTTTAGGGCTTGTCTAAATTTGATGTCCCAACAACACTCTCGTAGTGCCAGATAGTACCATGTCCGTCTTTTTTCATTTTTTCATTGGTCCATACCTGATCCTCATAATCTCTAAGACAGTTGATAAGTCGTTTGTTTGTTTGTTTTTCATTTGATTGAGAGAGAGCGGTATTACATAGTATGAATCTTCATGGGAAAGTGCTAACCTAGCTAATTGATCAGCTAGTGATATTCCTATATGAGAGGGTATCCAGTATAGTGACACTTGGGTACCCCGTTCTGATAATTTTAAAATTTGGTGAAGGATATTCTTAGTTACCATGTTTTCTGGAGTAAATGCAGTAAGCCTGTTAAGATCGCCTTGGCTGTCTGTAAAGACAGCCAGGTTTCGCTGCTGTTCACTACCTTTCTTAATGGCATGATATATAGCTACTGACTCGGCATCAGTTGTGCTTGCCCAGTTGGAGATGCACTCACTTTCTTCAAGGTCTATATCAGGGATTAGCACACCAATCCCTGTTGTCCCATGAGGACCAGTGGAGGCATCACAGTAGATTGCAAGTGGGGGTGTATCATGAGGGGGATGTAGAATGCCATCTATATATTCCAAGTAGTGAGCTTTTAGTTCCGTTTTTGAAGCCATAGATTTAGACCCTATTTGTATATCAATATGAGCACGTACATGAGTTCTGTGCCAAGGAGTAGTAAGTACTGTATCTGGAATATTAATAGCTTCGTTGTTCCATACATTAAAGAACAAGATAGTATGAGCAGTTTTAGTTTTCCATTCTAAGTTGGACTGTATGAGATTGGAGTATCGAGGCCGGGCATGCCTGACTCTATAATTTATCTCATTTGATAGGATACTGGAGATTTGTGGTCTGGGTTGAAGCTGCAGGAGCCTGATGCCAAGTATGGTGTTAACTTGGATGACACGACTGTGAATAGAAGGGAGGTCTAACTCTTTCCTCATGACGAGAACTTTAGCGGTCACTGGGCATCCAAGTATAATTCTTATTCTGTAAAACTTCAAGGGGTTTGAGGGTACTCGATGGCAGTATACCAAGAACTGGGCTTGCATAGTCTATCATGGACCTAACAAGGGAGATATACATCAACCTTAGGTCTCTCAGGGAGGCACCTGCATATCTGTTACTAATGTACTGCAATGGTCTTAAACGCTCAAGGCAACGTTCCTTGATGTTTATTCTTAGCAAAGCATGAGTTATGGGACATGGGGTGGGGAGCAGCCACCATAACACCAAGGTATTTGTAAGTGTCAGCTATTGCAATAGTTTGTCCACCTAACCTTGGAATGTAAGGTAATCTACGAGATTTGGAAATATGCTTAGTTTTGATTGGGTTGATTATGAGACCAAGGGAGGCACACTTTTTGCTGAACCTCTGGAGAACGTAATCCCCCCTATCAAACACCTGAATAAAAATGTCATCAGCATAGGATGTGATGCTGCATAGGTTTCCTAAGTCATCAATGAGCTTGCAAAGAGAGTGCATAAGTATATTAAACAGTGTTGGGGACAACACTCCCTCTTGTGGAGTGCCTAATTCCAATTCGCCATAAGCACTATAGATACCTTGATACCACACTTTTGCTCTTCTCAAAGATGGATAATCCTTTATCCATAGCAGAAGCTTGCCCTTAACTCCTAAAAGAGTTAGTTCATGGAGGATTACAGTAGGGGAGGCTCTGTCGAATGCTCCCTTAAAGTCTATGAAGTAAGAAGACTGTGCATTACGTCCATTTAGGTACTGTGCTAGACATATTTGTGTTCCTCTCCCTTTTTGAAAGCCAAAGACAGATGGATGGATCATGTCTTTGATCTGATGGAGTAAGCGAGTGAGGAGAATTCTTTCACAGGTTTTTGACAGGCAGGATGTCAGAGAAATTGGTCTATATTCATCAGGCCGTCCTGGTTTTGGAATGGGAATGATGGTTGCCCGTTTCCAAGAGGTAGGCAAGATGCCTGTCATGTAGGTTAAGTTGAAGAGATCAAGAAGAGGATTTCTTCCCTTTACCTGTACTTTTGCAAGAAGTCGGATGATGTCATAAGTGATTCCATCATCCCCAGGTGCGGTGGATTTGCTAGTCTTAATGGCTGCAAGGAGTTCCTCCCTTGTAAATGGTGCATCATCCTCATCTAAGAGGTGGCACTGGTAGTCAATTTCGTTTTTATGGCTTAATTTAAGGGAACACCTACGTATGGATAATGGAAGGCTATCAAGAGAAGAATCCTCACACCATTTATCAAGGAGAGATGAGGCTACCCTTTCTGGATGTGGGTGGGGTGTTATACTGCATGGATTGCCTTTGATCTTGCTAATTTCCTTCCATACATTACTCATGGTTGTCATGGAGTCAATTGATTTTGCCCAGGCATAAATTTTTTCTTCCCGCTTTCGTGTTATTATCTCATTGATCCCTTTACTGAAAAACACAAGATCTTTAGCTAAGTACGGGTTTTTCCCCAAGTGTTGTAGCTGGCTTACTGTAGATCGTATGAGTCTCCTAAGAAGTTTTATCTCAGGGTCTTTGTTTAGTTGTTGTGCATGTCTACCTCTGGAGGATAGAGATCTGTGATTGGCAGAGCTTTTGGGCTGTATTTGAGTAATAATATTGCCAACTTGCTGACAGAGGGTTTCATTAAAGTGATCCAGGCTGGTAGGAGTAAAGTTTTAGGTACCACCTCACTATCATGTGGATTATATACATTAATGATGGTGATAGATTTATCGTCTAGAAATATTTTAATACTAAGATATACAACACAGAAGTTGTCACGATTGTTATCAATCACTTTCGATGGAATTGAGTTCTTTATGTAAATGCCAAGCCCTCTCGTAGAGGGGTTAGCAATATTTGGTCTGTCATATGTGTATCCCGCAATTTTTGCATAACGAGCACTAGTTCTGACTTCCTGAAAGCAACACACATTAACATTTTCGCCTTGCGTTTCTGCAAACTGTTTATGTTCCAGGTAATACATTTCAAGTGATTAACTGGAGACATTGATTACTTGGCCATTTCCAAGAGAGAGAGAGAGACAAAGAGTGTGAGAGAGAGAGAGTGTAATGACAGGGGGAGACCATCCCAGTGCGCTGTCACAATGCAATGATGTGGGTGGTGTTTATCCCACTTGCTGCCGCCAGTGTAATGGTGGGGGAAAGACATGCCCCCACTGTGATAGTACTGCTTGTTTATTCTTGGGTGTAGAGTTAATGATATCGCAGATTTAAAAAAAAAAAATCCCATAAAAAATGTGATTTTTATTATTATCATTATTCTCAACATTATGATGCTATATTTGATGGAAGACAAAATCTCTGTTTGAGTTATGTGAAAGGTAAAAATACAAATGTGTGATGAGCTCAGTGGTATCTACATTGATGAAAAAATAAGGGTTAACCTCATTAGTGATGCTTCTGGTTATAAGGGGTGATTTCCAAAGGCAATGTACCTTAGTTCTACAGCCATTGGAAATACAAATACTGAGGATAGTGTGTATCCAGTCATTTTCTCAGTTTTGGGATTGACAGTAGAGTATACAGATAGTGCAGCTGCTCTCTCTCTCTCTCTTTCTCTCTTTCTCTTTCTCTCTCTCTCTCATGACCTCTGTCACTCTAGGAGTTTGGGAACAAAGTCATCCAAGAGGCAGGAGAGGCACTGGCCCCGAAGGACATGCCCCAAGCGCTGGGAGGAGAGGACAGCGCCGTTGCCTTCACAAATCTTCAGGATATGGTTAACAATGCCTCCATCACCATCGCGACCTTGTTCACAAATTACACAAAGAATTTCACAAATGGAAACCTACGTAAGGGTTGGGTCATCCTTTGTTCTGTTCAAGTATATTATGCCTGGTTTGACAAGGGAAGGCGACGTATAGACTTTTTTTTTTTTTTTTGGGGGGGGGGTTAAGTATAACAAGATTATTTTTTAAGAGGGCGATGAATGACAAACCCTATATCACTGCAATATTCCCCCTAACCATTCACAGATTTCTCACCCGAGTTACTTAGCCACTCGGAACACCTTTTCCGCCACACAACCATACTGATCCACCAATTACAATCCCTCCCAGACATGCAGGTGTCCAGTAAACCCTTGAGTTACTACAGCAAGCCTGAAGCTCGCCGTTTCGACACTCCGTATTCCGGAACATCTGTTGAACTTCCTGAGGAGCTCTATAAAGATGGCGTGGGCGAAGACGGCTCAGTGAGAGTCGTCATTGTGTCGTACGAGACCCTTCCTAACATTAACAACACTATTCCTCCGTAAGTCCCCGAATGTGCTGGTGTGTAGTTTGTGGTGACACCGCGTTATCTTGCTTGGATTCCGAAGATCGTTGCATTAAAACGCTGGGTGTTTACACGTCCATAGAGAGCCCGGTGCAGATTCTAAGGAGGACTTTGCCGTCAAAGATCAGCTCGGCAGCAATATTATCAGTATCACCGTGGTTGGAACTGAAGACTGGCGTTCAGGTAAGGTCAGCTGGCTTGCCTGGCTTGTGGCGTCTCTTTGTACCATAAGAGAGACGTAGTAAGCAGTTGGAGACATGTATTTCCGTCCTTTGATCGAAAAAGGAGAGTGAGAGACCTGACCGAAAGAGAGAGAAAAAACACATGTATACATGATTATGTGTAAATTTCAAAAGACTTCCTTACAAATAAAACAAAGAAGGGAAAAACAAGAAAACGCACGACTATGCCGAAGGTCTTTTATATTGCTTCTTCAGGACAAGAAGAAAAAGCTGTTCTATTTGCAATTTGTTCATGAATCCCACACTGCCTCTCTTAACTGCTAGTATATCTCATTTGTTTTAAGTATGTGTAAACCACAGATTTTTATATTATTTTCGAATTATTTGCATCATTTTTGTAAATCCTAGCAACTGTCTCTCTTAACCAGTAGTAATTCCCAGTTTGCAATATCTTAACTAGTATCATGTCCCATTTTAATTTGAAATTGTGTACATGTGTCCGTGTGTGTTTGAGAGAGAGTGTGTGTGTGTGCGTTTGTGTGTATGTTTGAGAGTGAGTGTGTTTGAGAGAGTGTAAAAGTGTTTCTTGTGCGCCCAGTTTCATTAAAGAGCAAACTGGCAACTTCCTCAAATCTCGTTTTTTTTTTCTTTAAATCAGCTGACACCTTAATGCTTCTGCTTACTTATGCTAGGTAATTTTCAAATTCGGAGATAATAGTTTCACTGTTTAGACGGAATATAGTAGTAATTAACCATTCGTTTGTAGTTTAAGTTTGTAGAATCTCTCTCTCTCTCTCTCTTCCTCCCTCCCTCTCCCTCCCTCTCTCTCTCTCCCCCCCTCCCTCTCTCTCCTCTCCTCCCCCCCTCCCTCCATCCATCTTTCTCTCTCTCTCTCTCTCTCTCTCTCTCTCTCTCATTCTCTCTCTCTTTCTTTCTTCCTTTCTTTCTACCTCCCTCCCTCTCTCTCTCTCTCTCTCTCTCTCTCTCCCTTCCTACCTCCCTCCCTCCCTCTCCCTCCTTCTCTCCCTCCCTCCCTCTCTCTCTCTCTCTCCCCTTCTGTCTCTCCCTCCTCTCCCTACCTCCCTCTCTCTCTCCCTCCCTACCTCTCTTCTTCCCTCCCTCCCTCCCTCTCTCTCTCTCTCTCTTCCTCCCTATCTCTCCCTCCTTCTCTCTCTCTCCCTCCCTCCTTCCCTCCCTCCCTCCCTCCTTCCCTCCCTCCCTCCCTCCCTCTCTCTCTCTCTCTCCCCTTCTATCTTTCCCTCCTCTCCCTACCTCCCTCTCTCTCTCCCTCTCTACCTCTCTTCTTCCCTCCCTCCCTCCCTCTCTCTCTCTCTCTCTTCCTCCCTATCTCTCCCTCCTTCTCTCTCTCTCTTCCTCCCTACCTCTCCCTCCTTCTCTCCCTCCCTCCTTCCCTATCCCTCCCTCCTTCCCCTCCCTCCCTCCCTCCCTCCTTCCCTCCCTCCCTCCCTCCCTTTCCATCCCTCCCTCTCCCTCCCTCTCTCTCTCTCCCCAGTCAAAGGACAACACGTGAGACTGAACTTCAGCCACGTCTACGGAGGCGACCATTTCACCACATCGAACCCTCGTTGCGTGTGGTGGGACAAGCGCGGTCTCGCCTGGAACACAACCGGCTGTTTCTCGGGTATCAACAGCGACAACTTCACCGAATGCTCCTGTAATCACATGACGTCATTCTCTCTCCTGATGGATGTCTGGGGACGTCGGGAGAACCTCAGAAGTATGGAGGTCAGTGGACGTCGCCCCCCCCCAAAAAAAAATATATATATATATACATTTGTATATATGTATATATATATTTATATATATATTATATATATATGTATATATATATTTATATATATATATATATATATATATATATATATATATATATATATATATATATATATATATATATGTGTGTGTGTATATATTATATATATGTGTGTGTATATATATTGTATATATATATATATATATATATATATATATATATATATATATATATATATATATATATATATATATATATATATATATATATATTATATATATATATATATACAGCGAGAGAGACAGAGAAGCAAGGTATCATTAGCATTTACTATCGGTATATTATTATTATTGCCAGGGCTGATATCAATGTTATTACTGTTGATATTCATTATTCTCTATCTCATCATGAATAGTATTATGATAATATCTACATGATGTCATGACCCTACTACTTTATTTGTTATCATACATCTACAGATACGAGATGAATAATTGTTTTACAATCCTCTCGGTCACCTCCCTCTCCTTCATTTCCATCTCCGCCATCTCCCTCTCCTTTATGTCCTTCTCGGTGATCTCCTCCTTCATTTCCCTCTCCGTCATCTACTTCTCCTTCATTTCCCTCTCCGTCATCTACTTCTCCTTCATTTCCCTCTCCGTCATCTCCTTCTCCTTCATTTCCTTCTCCGTCATCTCCTTCTCCCTCATTTCCCTCTCCGTCATCTTCTCCTTCATTTCCTTCTCTGTCATCTCCTTCTCCTTCATTTCCCTCTCCGTTATCTCCTTCTCCTTCATTTCCCTCTCCGTCATCTCCTTCTCCTTCATTTCCCTCTCCGTCATCTCCTCCTTCATTTCCCTCTCCGTCATCTACTTCTCCTTCATTTCCCTCTCCGTCATCTCCATCTCCTTCATTTCCCTCTCTGTCATCTCCTTCTCCTTCATTTCCCTCTCCGTCATCTCCTTCTCCTTCATTTCCTTCTCCGTCATCTCCTTCTCCCTCATTTCCCTCTCCGTCATCTTCTCCTTCATTTCCTTCTCTGTCATCTCCTTCTCCTTCATTTCCCTCTCCGTTATCTCCTTCTCCTTCATTTCCCTCTCCGTCATCTCCTTCTCCTTCATTTCCCTCTCCGTCATCTCCTCCTTCATTTCCCTCTCCGTCATCTCCTTCTCCTTCATTTCCCTCTCCGCCATCTCCCTCTCCTCCTTTACCTCCCTCTCGGTCATCTTCCCAGGGTCAGGGCTACGAGGCCGCCAGATGGCTCGGCACCGCGGGTTGCGTCGCCTCCTGGCTCTGCCTCGCCCTCTGCCTCGCCGTCATCGTCGCCCTAAAGCCCCTTCGCACCACACTCTGCTGGAGGATCCGCGGCCAGCTGTGCCTGAGTCTCCTGCTGGCGTACTCGCTCGTGCTGGTTTCCACGAGCGTAGGAGGGAAGGGCGCGTGGTGGTGCAAGGCGATCGGGGCGCTGCTGCACTATTCCTTGCTCTGCGTGTTCTCGTGGGGCGCCATCGAGGGGTTCAATATGTACCTCATGTTCGTCAAGGTGAGGCTCCGGCTTTAACTTTAGATTATTGTTATAGTATTTTTTTTATCATTATTATTCATTTTATTATTATTAAATTTGTTTATCACATGTGTGTACATGTTTATAGATAGATATAGATATAGATAGATAGATAGATAGATAGATATAAATATGTGTGTGTATGTGTGTGTGTGTGTGTGTGCGTGTCTGTGTGTCTAAGTCAGAAAGGTGATTTTCAGCCAGAACTTCGAGACGAGGTACACCCTAAGAAAGAAGAAAAAAACGCCTGTCGAGAAGAGGCAGTCCCAGGACATTAGAGGCCCCCTTCCCATAAACCCTAAGTTTTGCATTTCCGTCTATTCACTGTCACTTGTCTGCAAAAGGAGGAAAAAGTGAGGTCTGGCTTCACTCAAGAAGACCATGGAACGCCATTTGGCCAGTTCCTTGTGTTAATATCAGAGGTCTAAGAATGATCGTGATTATGATAAAAAGAGACAAATTATATCAGCTTTGTCATATTTCCCCCTTATCACCGATGTTTTTCGGAATGTAATGAATGCCATCTTCAAGCAAGATGGGCATTTTTAAACACTCCCCCCTCAAAGAAATGATTCATAATCGTATTTATATATACATTTTCTTTATTTATTTATTTTATTTGTATTATTTATTTTTTTATTTGTATTATTTATTTTTTGTTTTGACCCCCTGGCTTGCCTAAGACTTGAGAGTATTAAAAATAAGACCTAAGGCACAAGAGAGAGAAAAATAAGACAACGCATAAGAGTAATGGGAATAAGACCTAAGATATAAGAGTAATAAGACCTAAAAGACCCCCTTCCCATGAATCCCAAGTACTGCATTCCCTGCCTTCCTCTCCCCCTCGTCTGCACCAGGTGTGGCGGACGCAGCGGAGGCTCCTGAGGTACTACCTGGGCGCAGGGTTCGGTTTCCCCGTCGTGGTGGTTGGCTTGACCCTGGCCGTCACGCGGGGCCAAGGGTACCGCACTGAGGGCATGTAAGTGGTAGATCTATAAGAGTGGTTGCTTGGATGAATTTCTTTTACTGAAGAGCTATTGGGTTGAAACGTTTCTTTTCTACAAGAGATGGAGAACTTGGGAATTCAATTTCTTAAAGAGTTGTAGAGATAACGAAAGCCTCGTGTTGCGGAGCAGAAGAATTTCCATTGTTTATAAGCTGTAGAGAAAACGAATTTAATTTCTGGCAGAGCAAGTGGAAGCCTTCTTTCGAAGAGCTTTTTTTATGACGAAGAGTTGAAATAATGAGTTCCTTTTTCAAGACCTAGAGAGTAAACAAATTCCTAACTTGCAAAAGCAACACAAATGATGAATTCCTGAAGAAGAGAGAATGATGGAGTCCTTAATGTTGCAGATGTTGGTTGGCTTCGGGGGCAGTCCTTTGGTCCTTTGTCGGTCCGATGGTAGTGATACTGACGGTGAGTCTTGCCTTAACGTACATGGGTTCTCGCATCACATTCTTGCTGTAATTACTATTATTCACAGCAACGAATATTTATCATTTCATCCACATTCACCACCATAGACATTTTCATCTTGGGAAGAAAAAAAAATCATAATACTTTATGAAACTGACACTACCCTATAATATTCTACTGTTTTTTTTTTCTACATTCAATCCTCATCAGATGAACTTCCTGATCTTCGTGCTGGTGATTCGTATTTTGATCAGAAATATTAAGGAAAGAAAGAGAGCCCTTCGCAAAAGGGACTCGGATCTGAAAGACAGATTGTGGGGGTCCACTGTCATCTTCTTCAACCTTGGATTTTCGTGGGCCACGGGCGTCCTCCACCTTGTTTTTGGTAAAGTGTGATTTTTCTTCCTTCTCCTCCTCATCTTTCTCCTCCTACTCCATATCTTCATCTTTCTCCTCCTCCTTCATCTCTTCCTCATCTTTCTCCTCCTCCTCCATCTCTTCCTCATCTTTCTCCTCCTCCTCCTCCCGATCTTCGTTCTCCTCCTCCATATCTTCCTCATCTTCTTCCTCCTCCTCCTCCCGATCATCTTTCTCCTCCTTCTTCTCCTCCTTCTCTTCTTTAGCTCTTTTCTCCTCCTCCTCCTCCTCCTCCTTTTCTTCATCATTTTTTTCCCTCCTCCTCCTCTTCCTCTTCCTGCAATAATAAACAAATTAGGAGATAGGAGAAGGAGACAGAGAAGTAGACAGGAGAGAAAGGGAAAGACAAATAAAGACAGAAAGGCAGATAGGAAAAAGAGAGGAGGGAGGGACGGTTGGAGAATGAGAATGAGAAAGAAAGAACCAGAGAAAATGAGAAAGTGAAAGTAAGAGAAGAGAGAGAGAGAGAACAGATTTTCCATCCATCCATCCCTCACCCATAAAGAGAAAGAGAGAGAGAGAAAAGGAGAAAGGAGAGAGAGAGAGAGAATGAGTACGTGAAAGAAAGAAAAAATAGAAAACCATAAAGACCATAAAGAGAAGGAGAGAGATAAATAAAAGGAGAAAGAGTGATATAAACAGAATGTGAAAATGAAAAAGGAAAAAGAAAGATAGAGGGGAAAAAAACAGACTTCTTCCATCCGTTCATCCTTCACTCATTCCATCTCTTCCGTACCTCCAGATGCTACCTTCTCTGCCATTCTCTTCTCCATTACGGCCTCTTCCCAAGGCGTCTGGATCTTCGTCTTTGGCATACTCTTGAACAAGAAGATCCGGGGAGACATGAAGCGTCTTCTGGTTGGTTTTCGCCTTTTCATTTCCTTCACGAATGATTGTAGAGTTGTTGTTGTTTTGTTTTGTTTTTTACTATATATAAAAAATATATACGCTTGTATGATAAGATTCATGATTAAACTTTCTGAGCATTTTTTTTTTTTTTTTTTTTTTTTTCCAAGCGTATTTCTTTAACGATCTTTGGACCGCGTTGATAATGTTATCTTTGCTCTGGAAAAAAGGTCATTACTGGTTTCACATTATCATTATCATTTTCACATTGTCACTATGTATTTTCTTCTATTGGTTTATCAATATCTTCTGTTCGTGCTAGCAAATATATCCCTCTTTTCTTTTTCAGATTCCTGCTAAGGATGACTATGGAGTATCCTTGAATGTAATACAAAATAGTAAACAAGAAACCGAGAATTATAAAGTCACAATATTTGCTACGAGTACTGAAGAGTGAGGGCAAAATATGTTGTCGGGCCTTGCCTTGCGTGCTTGTCTGCCATTTCTCTCTCTCTCTCCCTCTCTCTACCCCCCTCTCTCTCTCTCTCTCTCCCTCCCTCTCCCCTCCCCCTCTCTCTCTCTCCATCTATTGATCTATTTGTCTATTTGCCTAACTATTTATCAGTCTATTCAGTCTATCTATCTATCCATCTATTCATCGCTCTGTCTGTGTGTCTTTTTCTGTTTCTTTCTCTCCCTCCCATTTTTTACAGTGCGTATCACTGCGGGTTGTTCTGCTGATTTATTTTCTGCAGATATATGTACTGTGTGTACGTGTGTGTGTATATATATATATGTATATTTAGAGAGAAATAGATAGATAGATAGATAGACAGATAGACAGATATTCATATATATATATGCATACACACACACACAAAACACACACACACATATATGTGTGTGTGTGTGCTTTCTTCATGCGGTTTATATACCAACGGTTATCGATGTCCGTCATACACTGCACACTAGAAATTCCACTGCCTCCTAAACATGACGTCTCATCCTATGAGGACTTGCTTAATGAGTCTCCTCCTCCGCCACCCCCCCCCCCTCCTTCCCCACGAAGAATGCCAAATCCTACCAGCTAGCCCCCAGAAGCACACCTTCATGATTATTGTAGATGAAGTTCCAAGGCCTTCGATATTCTCAAGACACATATGCAGGCCAGCTAATAAACAACCAGACCCAGACACCAGGGCAGGTCACCTACATCTATTGGAACGTGTACGAGAGAGGAAAGAGAAACAAACAACTCTATAGAAGGAAGGCACTGCAGCTTCTTCCAAAATCCAGAATCTCCCTGCCTATAATGAATTGACTCCGTTGGCTGGAAAATGGCCAAATAAACAACACAAACTAGCCATCAATAGATCACGTCATCTCACAGGGAGGAAAGAGCAGGGGGTCAGGAAGAAATGCCTTCTGATCAGTGAGAAGCTGAAAAGGCTCGTTGGAAAGCTGGACGAAGGTGTCATTATTGAAGTAGCTTTCTGCAGCCAAATTGATGGCCATCAACACTATGGCTTAGAATAGAATAAAGTCTGTATACACATAATAATCTCCAATTTCAATACTACTGAAGGGAAGCATCAGACGCTCATATTCAAAGACACTTGGTACACCTTAATCGGAGACTCGGATTGGCTAACATGCGCGATAAGCCGGACTGGCTGTCCGTTTAAGGTCTCTCGAGCTGGAGGCCGTTCGGAATTCGTTCTGAACACATTTACTTTGTAATTATGTATGATTATATATATGTGTATGTGTGTTTATATATAAACATATATATATATATATATATATATATATATATATATATATATATATATATATGTTTATATATAAACATATATATATATACATATGTATATAAATATATATATATATATATATATATATATATATATATATATATATATATATATATATATATGTATATATATATATATGCGTGTGTGTGTGTGATATATATACAGTATATATATATGTACGTATAGATATGTATATATATATATATATATATATATATATATATATATATATATATATATATATATATATATATTACATACAGTTGAATGGAACACAACTAGTATTCTTCTTCTAAACCTTCATGTATGGTTGTATTAGGCAATTAGTATAGTAAATCTTGTCGTGATAAAAATATGATTAAGAACTGAATAAACCATGTAACAAGACATTCATTTTTATTAACCGACAACACGGGTAAGGTTCTGGAATGAACGCATGTTTTTTGTCTCATAGGAAAAAAATAGGTTTCGTTGTAATTTATTCGAATTTCTCTTTCTTATGTCATCGTCTGGTCTGCCATGTTGACCCTGACCTCGCCTCTTTCTTCAGTAAGATCACATGTTTTCTAATCGTACCTTTAGTCTATCCTTCAAATCAATTCGTTTTCTGTGGTAACAAAAGCGTCGAATATTTAGAAAATGGGCTTTATGGGTAACTGATTTTGAATAATTTACTTTCTTCCAAGATTACATTAAAACCGGGGCATCATTTTGTAATAGACGGGAGTTCAATTTCGTGTTTTTGTTGTTATTGTTGCAGTTTTGATCGTTTTCGCACCTGTTTTACTTGTAAACGCATATGTTCACCTGTTTTATTCGTTTATTTAAATCTTTTACTTGTTTACTCGTTTATTTGTATATTACTTGTCTTACTGATTTTAGATTTTTTGATAAATTTTACTTCGATGCACCCACGTAATCGCCGACATATAAGTTAAGTACTAGAGCATTACTGATATTTATTAAAACACTTTTCTTAACTGGCAGTGGAATAACTATGCTTAATAACTCCACGGGTATGTTTGTGTTCGTTTTTAGAATAGAAGTGAAGTGTTTGTCCTTCCTGAGGTATGTTCAGTTTGATCTGTTATTTGTGTATTTGTTTTATTAATGCACCAAATAAATGTTGTATGTTTTATGCAAATGTTTTAGTGTCCCTGCACAGTGATACCTCCATATTTTAACTAAAAGTAATTCATGTCTTAATCAGTGGCTACAGTAATATCAGCAAGAAACTGAAAACAAATTTGTATGAAATTTTAAAACACATATAAAGGCGATTCGTTCTGGTAAACATAATTAGGCACTACAGTTTTAGCTTTTTCCGGGGAGGGTGGGGCAAGAAAGAGTTATTCTAGAGGCATTTTAAGTTATAACCGAACTTACATAGGTGTAATTTAGTAAAAAATAAAAATAATAATAAAAGGTGACGGAGGGGGCAGACCTTGAGGGGGGTCCACAGAGTCTTATGACTGTCATTATCATTATCATTATCGTTAATTTCTCTATCCTTATCATTGTTGTTTGTGTGGAAAAATTTCCATACTTCCACACCGAGGAACTGTCGATGTTTCTGAATTATTATAACTGTGAATTAACAATTATATTTTTTCTTATTTCTTAAGATTTCTTCTTTATGATGTGTGAGTAAAACATGCAAAGTATTTCATAATGTTGAGGAACATTAAATATTTTCTAAGCGACATTTATTTCATAGCCTGCCTGAAAAAGCACTGGCATGTGCATCGGCGTTAGGTTGCTGCATCGGCTGCCCTCGCGTCTCTCCCTCCCGACTTGAGCACGCTTCTGCACGGCTTCCACGCCCATCGTTGCGCGGGACTGCCGTCGCCAACCGTATAAGAAGCAGGCGTGCTGAATTAACTACACCTGCACGAGGCTGTTGCTTCACCTACCATCTGGTCGTGCACGCTAACTGCTTAACTTGCCGACTGCGTAACTCTCAGGCTGAGTTTAGTTCTCCACTCTGAGGCTAACGGCCGTATTACTAAACGTTTGTGTTGTATAACCTGACTAGTGAATTTTGTTCTATTTGTAACTTATGGCCAGGGAACAAATGCAAGGCCAGAAACGTTCTCTCACTTGGAACCTCGCCTTCAGCAGAGGTTCTCTACAGTCATCAAAGTTGTTACTATTATTTAAGTAAGGCCTCACTTTCGTTGTTTTTTTCTTTGGAGATAGCAAATAATAGACAACACTCTTCGAGCGGCTTCATCGTCGTTAATGAGCTATTCTCATACAATTAATTCTCACTTTACACAGGTATTAGATATATTACACTATTTTCGGAGACATTGTCAAACACTGGTAAACACGTGTTATGCGACGCGCCGGGCCGAAATGTCCCTCCCCTGAATGCCTATTTCCTGCGCATTCTTGAAAATCGCCCAAAAGTTACCCCTAGAGGCACGGTCATTGTCACTGGCCCTCTTCTAGACACAGCCATCTGATTGACCCAGATTTGAAAAGAGAGAGACGGCAGGGTATTCGGGCGCAAACAAAGGCTAGTGACATACTGACATGATACGCTAATCCATGAAACGCAAAAATAATCTCATTCTAGGTACACTGAGCGTCTAACCCAAGTCTCTCCCTTCTGAGATCTTAAAAGCACGTAAATAACATACGAAATAAAATTACATAAAATAGTTGCAAAAATCATACATACATCTGACAGCTGAATTCGTAAATTACTAAATACCAACAAAAAATAAATAGATATAATGAACGAAGATGAAACTCACGTGAGTAGTCATTTATACAAAGAGTCTCTTCAGAATATATAGTATGATCTTTAATAGACAAGTGTCAGTCGACTCATCAAACTGGCGTATTTTAAATCCTTAAGTCAGTTGCGATAGTTCTTTCGAAGAATCTACGAGAAAATAAACATAAAAAAATACTAGTATTAAACCCACGGGGAGTTGTGACCTTGAAGATGATGAATGTCCATACTTTGAAATCTTTTATTCACTAAAATGAAAATGAATATGAACTAAACGCCTAATATTCAATTCTCTTATAAGACACTGAATTTGAAGGACATCTACTCTCATTGTTTCTCGATGTGTGTGTGTGTGTGTGTGTATGTATGTGTGTGTGTGTGTGTGTGTGTATGTGTGTGTCTGTGTCTGTGTGTATGTGTATACATAAATATATAAATAAATATTTGTTTATCTTTATAGAGAAATTATATATATATAACAATTCTAAACAATTATCGACTCATTATAAAACCAGTTCCTAGTTTTCGTAATTAACGATGGCCATCAGGGAAGTCGCAGCCAGGGCCAGATCTAAGGAAACGAACAGAGCATCGTAGTTTTTATTGCATATATATATATATATATATATATATATATATATATATAATGTG